CCCAGGTGGACATAGAGATGTCGTTTGTGGAGCAGGCGGGCGTCATGGCCCTGGTGGAGGGGCTGCTGCAGCACTCCTGGCCGGCGGAGAAGGGGCCCGTACGCGTCCCTTTCCAGACTCTGACCTACGAAGAGGCCATGAGGGACTATGGAGTGGACAAACCCGACACCAGGTTCGGCATGAAGGTGGGAGGAACAGATCCTGTGTGTTTGTCCAGACCTCAGAGTGTCTTACGAGCTAACCGCTAACGGCTAACCGCTAACGGCCGGTTTGCTTCTGTCTCCGTGTCTCCAGCTCATCGACCTCAGCGACCTGTTTTCTTCCACACAAATTGAATTCCTCAGGTCGGCTCTCAGCCAATCAGAGGGCTCTGTTCAGGCCATCTGTGTCCAGAGTGGAGCAGTAAGTCCTCTGATCCGCCTCCAGATTCCTGTGGTGTGAACTATTGCGTTTTGCTCTTTTCTGTCTCAAACGGGGTTCTTTGTCTCCGGTGTGATGACAGAAGCTGTTGACGGGAAAAGATCTGGACCAGCTCAAACAAACAGCCCAGACTCAGTTTGGGAAGGTAGGCGTGTCCATCCACTTCTTCTCCATCATAACCTTGTAGATCTGGTCTGATCCTATCAGAGCCTGTATTAAAGTTTAAAATTATTTATCTACTTACTTAGTTGAGACACTGACCCGTTTATTCAGGGAGAAACACAAAATAGGATAAAATCATAGATAACAAAAGAAAATAGCATCAGAGTGAACAGTAGAAAGTGCTAATAATATTGAAAAAACACAAAAACCTGAATAGAAAATAGTCTATTAACTAAGCATCAGTGTAAACCAAGGCTTAAAATAAAATAAAAAAATATTGTACACTCTATTTAATAGGGCTCCACTTCTTGGTCTTTTTCATCCTTGAGGATAAATTAATCCCACACAACTCACATTTTTACCGATTTTAGCGTCAAATTGACATGACCATCTTTAAAGTTATTTAGCCTATTTACTTAGTTGTCAGACTCATGTTGAAAATGGGTTTACTCTGATAATAACTAGTGAGCTGAATTAGGATAAAAAATAGGATCAAATAATCCCTCACAACTGACATTTTTACCGATAGCTTCAAATTAAAATGGCCGTCTTAAGGGTTAAGACACAGAGCTGTGGGTTAGAGATGCTAATGCTAACGCTTAAGGGTGACCCAGATACCGGATGGGGAGGATTCCAGTTCCCTTTCCTCTCTCTCCTGTGCAGGATCTGAGCCTGGTGCAGGTCCGGGGGGATGGCACGGTGAAGTCTCCTCTGAGGAAGCTGCTCTCTGCCTCCGTCAC